TCCTTACGGATTGCCAATCATTTCCAAAACAAGATTGATGCAATCTCGTGGCCGGTGAGTGAGGTACTGAGTGGAGGTGGGGGGGGGGGGGGAGAGCAGGGATTTGAAAGTGGAGAAGAGCCGGCGAGGACAGGTGGAGAGGGGGTGTTGATGAGGTTAACGAAATAGGCTTGCTTGGCGGCGTGGAGTGAGGTGGTGTAGGTGAGGAAGGCGGATTTGTAGAGGCAGAACGCACGAGAGGATCTGGTTTTGCTCCATAATCGCTCCAGCGCGTGACTGCGTCGTTTGAGACATTTTGTGTGGTTGTTCTGCCAGGGTTGAAGCGGTCAGGGTCTGACGTTACGCATGGTTAGGGATGCCAGGGAGTCGAGGGCAGCCAACAGTGAGTCGTTGTATGCAGTAGTGGCCAGGTCAGGGCATGACAGAGGAAGAATACTATCGTACAGACAGTCAGCTGCCGGGTGGAGATGGTCCGGGTTCAGGTTGCGGAGGTTAGGGCTGGTGATGGTTTGATGCTTTGGGGGGGGGAGTTAGAGGAGGGGGAGATGGAAAATGTGAGGAGGTGGTGGTCAGAGAGGGGGGAAGGGGGTGTTAGTGAAGTCGTGGGGGGTGCAGAGGTGGGAGAAAACAAGTTCCAGGGTGTTTCCATTGGTGTGGGTGGAGAACTGTGTGTGCTGTGTGAGCGCGAAGGAGGAGGTTAGGAGGAGGAGTTGGGAAGTAGCCGGGTTGTTGGCATTGATGGGGATGCCAACAACCCGGAGGAGAGGTTGAAGGGAGGCCAGGCGGCAAACTCATCTGGGAAGAGGGATATGGATCCAGGAGGCCGATAGATTACTGCAATCCTCAACTGCAGGGGGCCTTGAAGGAGGAGAGAAGTTTAGGGAGGGGGGGGGTTAGGGAGGACCTGGAAGGTGCTCAGCTTTGACAGGAGCATGCTGACCCCGCCGCCTCTGCGACCACTCGGTCTGGGTGAGTGGGTCCAGACGAGGCCTCCATAGGTGAGTGCGGCAAGGGAGGTGGAGTCGGTGGGTTGGGTCCAGGTTTCGGTGACCGCTAGGAGGTTGAGGGGAGTGGGAGACAAAGAGGTCATGGATGGCGGTGAGCTTGTTGCAAACCGAGCGGGCGTTCAGGAGTGCAACCGAGAGAGGGGGGGGGTGGATGCGGGGAGGAGGGGGACGGGTATGAGGTTGAGGGGGGTGCGGTGGCTGGCGGGAGCAGGAGGGTGCCTAGAGGGGGAGTGGGGAGGTGAGGGGCCAGGGTTTGGGGAGATGTCACCGGCGGTTAGGAGAAGGAGAAGGGTGAGGAAGATGGCATGGGAACGGGATGTGCAGGAGCGAGTGGATTTGTTAGTAGTGGCGTGAGGGTCAGCGGGAGAGTGGAGTATTAGGAGGAGGTGGTGAGAGCCGTAGTGGGGAGAAGGATGAAGTGAAGGAGCAATGTAGAGCTGTTTTGGGGGAGTAGGGGGGTAGGGGGAGGCAATTTTGGGAATGGAGGAGAGGAATATGAGGAGAAGGAGTGCAGGTGGCATGTTAGAGTGAGCGGAGTGCTGGTCAGATCAGGGAGGTGAGAGGTTTCATATCAGGGCGTGATGATGCGGAGAGTCTGTCACGTCGTGGCGGAGGTCATCTATGTCCATCTGTAGGAGGAGAGTGAGAGTGGTGGGGGGCTGGGTCAGCAGCTGGCAAGTTGCAGTCCATGGGTGCTGTAGGTCGGCGGCCGTGAGTGCTGTGGCATGGCGTCTGGAGATGATGCAGGGCACGGCGTCTGTTTTTGTTTTGTGGTGGTCAGATACAGTGTAGGTCCGCTTTAATGTTCCATTAGATGGGAGTTCCAAGTACAAGTAATAATTGTTTTATGGACTTGCAGGTAAAGTTCTATGTATCTTTTATATTCCCTGTGTCTAGTCAAAAAGATGGATTTAAAATTTGATATTTATCGTAATCTTTAAAATGTGAAATGTTGTGGATTTTTTAACACTGCTGCGAGGAAGTGATTACTGTAATCTCCTAAAACTCCTATAGGAGCTTAACAACGGAAGCTATTTTTGGATTAAAATATAATCACACATTTCCTCCACCCCAATCAAAAGCCCAAGCATTATTTTAAGATGTATCTTTGATCAGTACAGTCTTTAATCACCATTTTTCATAAGCTGAAATATCAAAATAATGTTTTCTCACAAAGCAGGATGCTTGTGTGAGAAACCTCAAATAGAAGCTGCCATTTACTGATGTGTGGACGATCTACTGGCTCTACAGCGCTTACTTGTGTTGAGATTGAATAGATTCAGCTATGTTGCCATGTTAGAAGTTTACAGACCAGAAATCAAAGAATGTCAGCTTCCATCGTAGGATCCTCACACAGGTATTTTGATAGAGAAACAAATGTGTTTTCAAAGAATAAAGTCAGCTTGAATGTTTGTTGAGAGGGTATTGCCTTGTTTATTTAATTTTTTTTTCTTCCTCTAGTGGCTATCTATATTTCAGACAAGTGAACTGCCACTTTTTCTGAACATTTGCTAAGATAAAAGCAAATGCAGGATAATCCACCCGCCATGTGTTTTGTTTTCAAGTCTGAGCAGAATGTACCTTGTATTGCAGGTACCGTTGAAGCTCATTTCCAGCAAAAACTTTTTTGGGTGCGGTTTGGAGAGAGTGGGGAATGAAGAGACACTTTGTCAGGCCTTATGGACTTATGCTGGGATGGCTCCTTCCCTGCTTCACAGGCCATCCTCCCAAAGGGACAGTGGCAAAGTGGAGGTCCTCTTGTCCAGCAAGCTGCCATTCCTGGGGCCCCCTCCCAGGCTCCAAACTCTAGCTTCTCACTCCATCTTCCACCCAACACTCTCTTCTCTCCTCCTAGGCTCTGTGATACTTAAGGGTTGCCTTGGTCACCATGCCCAGCCTCCTGCCAGGGGATTGTCCAGGGTCCCTCAAGTATGCAGATATGAGCCTCCTCCCATCCTCCATCCCTCCTCCAGAAAGCTCTCAGGTTTCTAGAGAGGTGAAAGGGCTCCAGAAGCTCTGATCTTCAGAACCACCCTGTCCTGAGGTGAACTTCTGCATCACTCATAGGCTAACTCATCCCAGGCTGCTTTTAGCCTCTGCCTAAAAGAAAAAAAAAAACAGCTATCCAGCTAACATGGAGGGTGTTACATAATAAAATACCAAATAACCAAAAAACAGAATGACTTTCAATACTAAATGTATCTGGAGCCTCCTTGTTGGCAATTTTAACCTAGTACATGTGACAACCAATAAAGGCCTCCAGCAGCACCACTTGGAGACAATTGCAAGTAACCTCAGGTACTACCATAAACATAGAAAAATAAGGGTAGCTGTACCCAAGACAAATCCCTACCAATTCACAGTAAACCTACTTCTCACCTCCTAGGACCTTGTACCTTGGGTTCTCCACCTGACTGCCCTTTCCCCTTATCTGGCCCAGGGGGTGTGGGATTACTCATTCTGTCTCTCCTGAAAGCTTAGTGGGTTGATGGCTGCCTTCAGGCCTGACACTGGACTGGTTCTTTCCCTGCTCCACAGGCTGTTCTTTCTCTGGGGATGAGACAAAGATCCTCCTTTCAGCTCCTGCCTTTCCAGTGGACACAGCAGGTGACAGATCGTGCCTCAGCACGGCACATTGGCCATGCATGAGGTGCATTCTGGAAGGACGTCATTTGATGACCACCTGGAACGTTGAATGCCCTGCCCAGTTGTCATTTGACTATAAACCAGGCAGGAAGTTAGTATTTCTCTAACTGTAAAATACAGTACTTGTGCTTAATAAGTCCACATAGCTAAATATTAGAGTTACTTTTAAATTTGAGTCAGTTTCAGCAATTAGAAGATAACTAAACCCAAGAACAAACATGTAATGTATTGCAGCATACCAGCCATTAGATGCGGTGTCTGCATTTTCCTTTTCTTTTTTCTTCTAGATTTAAAACCTTTTTTATCAATTTAAAAAAATATATATTTATCCTATCATAAATGCAGTGTCCTTTTCATTTCCTATGAGATAAACTGAAAGCAAAAACAATGTTTACCATCCATGTAATGATATGTTCAAAGGCAGACATAGTTGTAGTCCTGTCCTAGGGTGACAAACATGTCTCCCTCTATAGATATGGTGGAGTTAGTGGAAGTAGCCACTCAAGGAAAGGAAATATGGTTTTCACAGAAATACAAGATGAAAACAAGGGGGGGGGGGAGGCCTAAAAAACTAATGTACTGTGGGTAATGAATCTAAAATCTAGTGAGCTGCAATATATTATATTTTTGTTCTTGGGGTTCAATATACTGTCACCAGGTCTCTGCTCTGCCCCTCCAGCACTCAACTGTGCAGGGGGCTGCTTGCTGAGAGCCTGAGCCAGCTGCCAGTCCAGGCATTTGGGTGGATCCTGACATTAAAGTCAGGATCGCTCCAGAGCCTGGACTAGCTGAATGAGATCAGCCGATGATGTCAGCTGAGTGCAGGTCACAGGATTGCAGAACTAAGTGCACTCCTGTGACCCACAGGAGAAGTAGGGCCAAAAAAGCTTTGGCCTTACTTCTCCTTTAAATAGGATTCTAGGTAACTGTTTAACCACTTTAAATCCGGACTTTCACCCCCTTCCAGTCCAGGCCAATTTTAAACTTTCAGCGCTATCACACTTTGAGTGACAATTGCGCAGTTGAGCAACACTGTACCCATATGCAATTTTTATAATTTCTTTGAGAGAGATATTTCTTTTGTTTATATTGATCACCACTGGGTTTGTTATTTTTTTGCTATATAAACTAAAAAATACCCAAACATTTTAAAAAAAAAACCACTTTTGCTTAGTTTTTGCAAATAAGTAATCTTTCTTCATAACTTTAGGCCAAAATGTATTCTGCTACATTTTTTGGGTAAAAATAACCCAAATCGGTGTATTATATTTAGTCTGTGTGAAAGCTATAGAGTCTACAAACTATGGGATATATATTTTAAAATTGATCAGTTGAGACCCTACAATGCAGGACACTGGTATGACATATGGCAGTGATCAGGATGCTGGTATGGGGTATGGCGGTGATCAGAACCTTAGCATGTTGAATGGTGGTGATCAGGATGCTGGTATGGCAGTGATCAGGGTGCTGGTATGCGGTATGGTGGTGATCAGAAAACTGATATGGAGTATGGTGGTGATCAGGAAACTGGTATGGTGTATGGCGATGATCAAGACTCCGGTATGGTGCATGGTGGTGATTAGGATACTGGTACAGCATATGGGGTGATCAGGATGCTGGTATGGGGGATCAGGGCACTGATATGGGGTATGGAGGTGATCAGGATGCTGGTTTGAGGTATGATGGTGATAAGGGCGCTGGTATAGCATCAGGATGCTAGTATCACATATGGCAGTGATCAAGATGCTGGTAAGGCATATAGTGGTGATTAGGGTGCTGGTATGAGGTATGGCAGTGATCAGGAAGCTGGTATGGCGGTGATTAGGACATTGGTATAATGCATGGCCATGTTATTGTGTGCACTGGGACAGGTGACAGGGCTGGCTATACAGTTTGCTATAGACTAAATTGGGCAGTGATCAGGGACACTGGGGTGGCTGGTATGCCGGTTTGTGAGTGTACTTGCAACCTAACAGGCTGCTGCACACGCACAAACTCCTGCATCACTTCTCTCTGCTCTCACAATGAAAGCAGAGAGTACTGATCTTTACTTTTTACTTTCAATGTTTCCGATATGAGTGCTGTGATTGGTCACAGCAGTCACATGGTAAAATATGTGATTGCTCGGACACAGCGGTAATGTGATCCGCTGTGCCCAAGTGACATTCGGATCACCGGGCTCCCAGGTGTGCGCTCTGTGAGCCACACAGGAGCCATCGATGAGGACTGACTTACAGGTACATTAGCCTGCATCAGCAAAGCTTCCCATCCGCCCATTGCCTATAGAGGTTAACCAGTTTCTGACTGCACTATAGCCAAGAGACGGCTACAGCTCGGTCGGCTAGCTCTGGGAGGGCATCCATGGACATCCTCCCAGAACCACACCCCTCGCATGCCCCCTCCTGCGGACACAGCTGATCACATGTCCAGGTAAAAGGGCCAATCAGAGCTGCCTTTTATCATGTGATCAGCTGTGTCCAATCACAGCTGATCACAGTATAAATAGGATATGCCAGTTATCGGCAGTCCTCTCGTCACGCTGATTGCGCATGAGGAGAGGAGAGCCAGTAAGCAGCATTTCTCAGAGCGGACATCAACACTGATCACACTGTTCAACAGGTAAAAAGTTTTGGGCATAAAATTAGCTAATCTTACATAATTTTGGGGTGCTGAAAACGAAAATGACCCTAAAAAATGTTGATTGGCTCTAGTTTCCATGATATATTCACCATCTAATAAAGTAAGCCATTCAAAATTATGATGCAACTTCAGCTGCATATTGCGCAATTGATACTGGTGACCAATAGAAAATTGCATGTATACTGAGATGATGCAATATTAGCCTTTAATTGCATCACTTCACTGCATAAAAGCTGCAGTATCTGTAGCTGATTGTAGTTCGACAGCGTCTTTACATTTCGTTTTATGCTTATATAGGCTACTCAGTAATGCCTCGAACTTGTGTGAATAAAGCAGATAATTTCTGCTATATCTGCGGTGAAATAACTTTTATCTCACAAAAAAGGAGGATAACAGGAATGATTAAGAAAGCCTACAACTTGTATTTTGGCTGCAAGATAGGAGACCAGGACAAGAGCTGGGCACCACATATATGCTGCAATTCTTGTGGGACGGCACTGGAGCAATGGTTGAATGGAAAAAAGGCATCTATGCCTTTCGCTGTGCCAATGATTTGGAGAGAGCCAACAGATCATGTTAGTAATTGTTACTTTTGTATGGTGCCTCCAATTGTAAAAGGGCTAAATAAGAAGAAAAAGTTATCTGTGCACTATCCAAATATTCCATCGGCAATACGTCCAGTTCCTCATGGAGAGGGGCTACCAATTCCTAAAGCCCCAGAATCCTTCGTGGTTGAGTCAAGTGAGGAAGAACCTGAAGCGTGTAGTCACGTGCAGTTGTAAGAGATAGCCCTTTCCTCGAATACAAGAGAAAACCCAAGAGAAGCAAAACCGACACAAACTGAAGACAAAACTAGTGAGAATCCTAAGTATTAAAATGATTCAACTTAGCTTATGGCTATAATTTTTCTTGGTAATCCTATGCAATATATTATGCCATTTAGGCTTTGTTATGTAGTCAATATCACTTGCTTTATATTTGTGGAAAGACATCTATCTATATAATTATTGTGAATTATATAGTCATTACGCCTATAGTAGAAAACTTCCCGTTTACAGAAAAACTAGAGCCAATTGACAAATTTCATTGTTATATTTGAACTCAGAATGTGAAATTCATTAAGAATGGATCCTTTTGTTTCCAAAACTGGCAAAAAATAAAAATTTGTTGAACAGTGTCATCAGTGCTGGCTATCAGTGCCATCTATCGGTGCAGCCTCATCAGTGCCTCCTTATCAGTGCAGCTTATCAGTGATGGAGAAAAATCACTTATTTGCAAAACTTTATAACAGAAACGAAGAAAAACTTTTTTTTTCTTCAAAATTTTTGATCTTTTTTTATTTGTGTAGGAAAAATAAAAACCCCAGTGGTGATTAAATATCGCCAAAAGAAAGCTCTATATGACTCAAAAAAAAAAAAAATATTTAGTTTGGGTACAGTGTTGCATGACTGCACAATTGTCATTCAAAGTGCAATAGCGCTGAAAGCTGAAAAGTGGAGAGTGCGCATGCGCGGGCGGCGGGACGGACATGTCCCGTTGAGGCTCCGTCTCCCCGTCGGGTGACAGCGCCACGAAGCAGCGGGTCCCGGCCCGCAATCTATCCCAGGGGGACCCGATCCCAGCAGCAACCCTCCCAGGGTCCGATCCGCCCTGGTCTGCGGCGGATCCCCTGCAGCAGGTCGGAGAAATCCGACGGGACACGTGTCCCTACGGCGAGCTCCGCACAGGCCCGCCCACCACAGCCTACACTAAACCCTGGGCAGAGGAGAGAGAGAAAAGGGGGGCTGAGAACTTCATAATAGCTCCCCCGACTAACAAGCGGCAGAATGGTTAAGGGGGCACCCCGGCACCAGGTCCCCCCTTCTACCAAATCAATCAAGGAGGCCCTGGCAAAGGCCTCCACAAAGATGGCCACCGCCCCAGCACATGGAGGCAAGAAGATGACGGGTACATATGCAGCCCTACAGGATCCACAGCCCAGCCATCCCTGCACGTCTGAGGGTGAGTCTGACACTGAAACAGATGTCCCTGCACAAGCCCTGACGCCTGACCTTGCAACCCCTGACCTGTTGACCCGCTTTGAAAAAATGCTACACAAAGCCTTGAAGCAAACATCAGACCGCATCAATGCCACGCAATCTAGGGAAATCCATGAACTAGGGCAACGCACTGCGGACCTAGAGCAGAGGGTAGATGGTCTTGATGCCACACTTCAGACACATACGGATGACCTTGACCTCCTGCGTGACGAAAACGCAACATTATTGACACGACTGGAGGACTTTGAAAACCGGGCACGACGCTCAAATCTGCGCATCCGTGGCCTTCCGGAAACGATTGTCGACCTCCAATCGACAGTAACAGCTCTGTTCCAAGAGCTTGCCCCACCTATCCCAATCGAAAGATTAGAATTGGATAGAGTACACAGGGCGTTAGCGCAACGACGCACGGATGGTCCACCACGTGACATTATAGCCAAGCTCCACTTTTTCCACACCAAGGAGCAACTCCTACAAGCTGCCCGTAACGCAGAATCTCTACAGTTCCAGGGTCATTCATACCAATTATTCCAGGATCTATGCCCCACAACAATCACCAAGCGCAGGGCTATGAAACCTCACATACAAGTACTTCAACAACACGCTATACCGTATAGGTGGAGCTTCCCCTTTGCAGTGCGATTCCGACACCAGTCCCTGGATTACACCTGCAAGACTCCAGAAGACCTACTAGACACCCTGCGGATCTTACAACTCCATTCCTCAGCGACACCTTCAGAAAGCGCCAAGCGGAGGTCCACATCCTGCTCGCCACGGAAGTCCCTCCCCACGCGTGCCACGGCAGGCCCACTCAACCTCCACAAACGGGGCCACTTTTCATCTCCGGGTCTATCTTCACAAGATACCATGGACTGAACTGTGTCTCATGTTTATCCTTCTTCTTTCCACATTATTTTAGCCACACACACCAAACGGTGTACCCCGTGGGCTGTCATTACTGTCATTGCGGTTAATACCGTTGATATCCTCTCTCCCTCTACCTGTTAAATTCTGGTTGCCCCATTACCTGGGAATTGTTCGGCTCCCCCCTCAGGGCCCCATTAAAGTTTAGTTTGTTTGAGAGCCTAGGCTCTGGCGGCATGCGATGCTACGCCCCTTCCCCTGTGATGTCTCACTGACACTGCTAATGCCGTCTGAGTTTGGGATTGCATGATCATCATGTATGTATTTCCTTTATGTACCTGTTTTGTTTTTTGTGGTTTTTTTTTGTGGTTTTTTTTTTTTTTTTTTTCTACCGGGACCTCGCCACTTTTTATCAATCAAGTTGCTGTCATCCTCACGTGTATCTGCACACTCCAACCTAGCCCCTGCGTTATTGGTTATTTAATAACACTTGGGCTACCATTGTTCCCTAGCCCACCCTGATTCAGGGTGTCCCTGGGACCCATCTTTTAGGCCTTCAATGGCCTCTTATGCCCCTTCTTTCCTGTTACCTCTCTCATATCGTACCCCTTCTCCCTCCCTCCAACATGACTTCAAGACTCTGCACAACACGCTCCACAGTGCCCTCATCCCCCCGTCAGGCTCCACCTTGGGAGGTAGTCACATGCTATCCTAACCACTATGCACTTTCCCCATGGGTTCGTTAAATATCCTTACCCTGAATGTCCAGGGCCTCAATATTCCACAGAAACGTAATAAGGCTTTCCGAACCTTTGCTACGCTTAAAGCTCATGTGGTTTGTCTACAGGAAACTCACTTCACTCCCAACTCCACTCCTAAGTTTTTTGGCCCTCGATATCCTCAGATCTATACAGCCTCTGCCGCCACCAAATGCAGGGGGGTACTGATTGCCTTTCATCGCACAACACCTTTTACGCTAGGCACCGAAATCAAAGACCCGGAGGGTCATTACCTCCTGTTAGTAGGACAACTCCTGGATGTAGATGTCACCATTGCGGCATACTATGCCCCAAACCAAGACCCTTTACCAGTCCTTTCCCACATACTCTCCGTTATAGACCACCATAAGCG